GCTGGTCAAGGGCTGTCTTCTCCCCTCTCTCCAGTCTGCAGTAGGGCCTTCACGTGTTTCAATTAGCAATTCGTGACTGAAAATCTACTGCATAAAAACTACAAAGGGCATACTGAGGTCTTATTTTGAGCTCTCCATCTATAAAATCTTGACATAGGGCAATGGTAAATGAAAGAATGTATACTATATGTACATACTATATAATGCACATGTTTTAATTACGACATATACATAATATGTATGACGAGACAACCTCAGGAAAACAATTTTCTGTGATAAAAACACAGAGATAGAACAAGAATGTCCTCGGCCAATACCACGCTGCAGAGGTGGTATCTTTCCATAATCCAATTAGAGAGGTTTACATCAGATGATAACACAATTAAACATTAACTAAGTTCTAGAAGTCAACCATCTACCAGAATTCACATTTTTCCAAAATATGAAATGGTTCACTTAGAACAGGATTCTCAAGGTGTAGGCTCAGAACCAGCGTCATCCGGGAACTCGGCAGAAACGTAAAGTATCAGACTCCCCACCAAACCTACTTGAATCAGAAACTCCCGGGCGGGCCCCAGCAATCTGTGTTTTAAAAGCCCCGGGTGATCCTCATGCAGGGTAAAGTTTGACAGCTGTACACCCAGAACTCAAGACAGCTCACCCGACTTTACTGTGTTGCTTGAGGGGGCTGAATGGAGGAGTCCAGTCGTTAGCAATCCTCAAGGTGTAACTTAAAGGACAGCAAAAAGTCCTGCCTGCTCCCCGAGCCGGCCTAAGAAGTCTCTGAATTTCTTAAATCAAAGCAGCTTCTTTCAGTGAAGACTGTCACTAAAAAGCCACCGTGCCCATTAACATGCCAACACTTATAATTTATCCTATTCCTGAGCTGCCACTAGATAGATAGCCAGAAGCAAGGACGGCATAATGTGACCTACGATATGACAAGTCAGGTTCAAAGTGGAGCAAGGGAAGGACAGTCGCAAGTCTTCATCCTAAAGGGATGACAGACAGGTCCAGGTGGGACCCTACTGGGAAGAGCATCCAGAAAGGCAATGGTGCTTTCCGCACACAAAGAAAGGGACACTCAAAGAAATATTTTGTCATCATTACTGTCTTCAGCAGCACTTAACTATGAATTAGTCGAGAAGATGGTCTCCTCTGGAATCTTAGAACATGTGCCAAACCGGAAAGGTCACTGCTTGCCACTCATGAGCACTGTGTACCCACTTCATACACATAGGGGACGTGCATTCAAGCTAAATGTGGGTTGATGTAAATTTGGGACTCCCTTCATTGCCCCTTCAGTACAGCAGCAGCAGCAGTTTCCTGAGAGAAAATCAATACACTTTGATTCTGACATTCACGAGCACCTGTTACAGGTACAACTAATATGTCTCTGGAAGGTTCCCCTGTGCTTTTATTTACAGAGCATGTAAATAAGGTGTCTTCCTGATGCGTGTATCAAAAAGTGTGATACCAATGTTTTAAAATTCGGTTGAAGTACTTCAAGACAGCAACAGTGTTGAAAAGCACGTAATTTAATGTTCAACAAACAAACCCACCATGAAAACGTCTCTTTTCTCATTGCACCATAACTATCCTACATGCGTGGAACCATTTTTATTATGCATTATACTTCTCAAGAGCTCTCCATGTGCCTCTTAAAAGCTCAGTTGAGGGCAAAATCAACCACGAGCAGTTTTCTAAAAATTATGACAGAAATATGACTTAAGATGGAAGATGGAGATGTGGCGATTCAAGTTCATGTGCAAGTCACCATAAGAAAAGCACAAGACATTGATTCCTTGACGTAGTCCTTCTATAGGGAGCCGATGTCATATGCAACAGTCAGATTTTGTGTTGCTCTGGCAGCTGACAGGTGACATTTTAACCTCTAACCAACCATAGCAAGACAATTCAAAATTAAGGTTGACACTTTGTCCTTTAACTAGTTCCAAAGTCCTGCAGGGGTTTTACTGCCTGATGTTACACCATATGTGCAAACCCAAAACACAGCAGGCGGGTTGAAGCAGGACGCCTCTGTACTTTGCCATTCTCCTGCTTCCTGTTGTTTTTAGAGCAACCCTAACTTTAGCTAAACATAAGCCTTCTAGGGGAATCATTTTTAGTAAGAGAATCCGCCTTATAGCAGAGTACCTGGTGCTGACGCCATTTCTGAGGCATGGCCGTCTATAGGATTCAGAGAGCTCACAGGTTCGGTGTTTTGCAGTCTTTATGAAACCTACCCATTTTGTGAAAAATCTCATAAAATAAAATTACTTGCCACTCAAGTGTTTATGAATAACACCCCAAACAACGACGGACTGAGTAATAGGAAGAATTCTTTTTGAAGCTTTTTTTTTCCCAACTAGCTGACCATTAAAAGATAGTGATTCATGCAGATTTTTCTTTTTTTAATAATGTTTATTTATCTTGAGAGAGAAAGAGAGAGCATAAGCGGGGGAAAGGCACAGAGAAGGAAAGAGAGAATCCCAAGCAGGCTCTCCACATTAAGAGCAGAGCCCAATGTGGGGCTCAAACTCACGACCTGCGAGATCATGACCCAAGCTGAGATCAGGAGTCAGGTGCTTAACCAACTGTGCCACCCAGGCACCCCAATGCAGATTTTTCAAAACGCTTTCCATCCCTCGAGTTTTTTAATTCTAAATTTACTGCTATCTGGAGTGATGGGATGTATTTACTTACTTGTGCCCTCAAGAGGTTTGAATCAGAAAAACTCTTTTACGTTTTACATTCATAATTATTTTCTGCCAGATACGAGAAATATATATGAGAAACGAGACAATACCAACTGCAAACTATATCCTTAGCTTAATGTCAGTAACTCTTGCCGAGCATAGTTCATGAAAAGCACGTACCAAGGCGGAGAAAAGGTCCTTTTAAAAATACACATAACTTCTCCAGTGATCTTTCCCCTGGAGTTTTCTGTAAAATAGAACACGTAGCTCTATAACATTCCCGAAAATCTATATATAGCTTAGAGAGGGAAGCATAAATCATGGGTCTCAGATTCACTTCCTGTTGCCTTCTTTCATTATACATTTAAAACTAATCAATAAAAACTGATTTCTCTTTGTAAGCATTTTCCTGTTCTGCCAGAAACAATTGCAGTCCCTGCCCTAAAATGAAGGAAAACTGGAAAGTAATATTTACCATAAGAGGAGAAAAAGAAACTGCCTAAGCATTTTTCCCGAGCCAAGTGAAACAGAAAGAGCAAATCAAGTTTATTCTTCAAGAAAAAAAAAAAAAGTTAATGCTCCTGGCATTAATTCTCTTCTTGAAATCTATGGGATCAAAAAGTTTTCAAATTCTGGACTTCTTTCTCAACTTTCAACAACTTCTTCCCAGTCATTTTATGGTATTACTCTATGAATATCTGTATAGATCACGTGCAAGACTTCCGCTTGATGTTGAGAACTATAGCACTAAAGAAAATAACAGCTAAGTCTCCCAAACTGCCTCCTAGGGCAGAATGAGATGCAAACTACAGGGGGTGGAGGGAAGATGAGAACAAAGTTACATCCAGTAGAGGGAAAAAAAAAAACAACTCTCTCGTCATTTGTTTCAAAACACGAAACCTTGTTTGTCCCTTGCATTTTTAGCGGGAGAATTTTCTCATTCAAATTGGGACTTCAGAGTGTTATATGAAGCAACTTGCAATAATCTGTTGGGGTTTCTCTAATACGCAGGTTCTATCTCAGGACTACCCACTTAATTTTTTCTTCTTCTTCTTCTGCATTCTTCACAAAAGAGTGTAAAAGCGCCAAGTGGGAGGGTAACAGACTTTTACTTTGTAATGAAGTTACAAATGCGTTCTATACGTTTTCCTGGCTCCCTATTTCCCTTCATTCTGTGCTATCTGCAGGTTGTCATATTTTACCAGGGCGGACTATAAATCAGACAAGTTCAGCCCGTCCGCTTGAAGAATGGAGGTGAAAAGCGCAGTGGAAAATACATAAAGTATAATTAAAACCATATGACCAGAAATATTGAAGTAATACTTGTTGGAGGAAACCCAAGTGAAAATCAAACCCTTTTTTTTTTTTGGTGTTAGTGAAACTATCCAGTCCATTCGGGACAAGCACACAGCATTTGCTTTTTTTTTTTTTTCTTCACAGCAAGAGCATCCCGGGAAGTTAAACCCTAACAAGATAATTCGGCCTAGAGCTGTATATACAGCATAGTGAAATCCATAATTGTTCATGTTAAACTGATCTCTCATTGAAAACAGTAATCATTTGGGTACCTGGGTGGCTCAGTCAGTTAAGCGTCCGACTTCGGCTCAGGTCATGATCTCACGGTTTGTGGGTTCGAGCCCCGCATCGGGCTCTGTGCTAACAGCTAGCTCAGAGCCTGGAGCCTGTTTCAGATTCTGTGTCTCCCTCTCTCTCTGACCCTCCCCTGCTCATGCTGTCTCTATCTCTCTCTCAAAAATAAATAAAATGTTAAAAAAAAAAAAAGAAAACAGTAATCATTTATTTGGAAATATAGTTTAAGACTGAGTGAGGGTCACGTTTACACCCACCAAAGAGTATTAAAGGCTTATGACAACAAGGTTGAATCAAAAACTTTTCTATTTTTCTATGCAGTCTTCACCTCTAAAGACCTAAAGATGCCAGTAAGACAGAGAGAATCTAATTGTTGACTGTTGAACAAGCAAAGCAGAAGTTATGAAACCTAAACAGTCCCCCTACGACATTATAAACAATCTCGAAGTTACTGCCCCATATAGGTTGTACTTAGCGGGCCAATGATGTATGATATATATGTCTAAGGATGTACAAAAATTAAGAACTCTCAAAGATGGAAAGCAATTCCAATAAAAATCTATGACTTCAGCAGTCTATCAGCAAAGCCAGCCCGCGTCTGTTTCCCCAGAGCACACCATGTGCCAATTACCAAGATTTCAGTAGACAATTGGAACACAACGTCAATATTTGGGATTCCAGTCAACGAGTCCAATTTAACAAGTCACTTACCTCCCAGAAACTGGATTCCTCCAGCCACTCTTCCCACTGTCCTGGAGATGAGCTCCGACACGCAGCAGCCCATGAGGGCAGTGAGAGCCACCAAGAGGAGGAGACCGCAGCCCAGGCCTGTCACGACGGTACAGATCCTCCATTCTGCACTGGGGATGCCCTGGAAGGAGGCATAGCGCCCGCATTCCTCCACCATCACCATCATCTGCCGGCTCTCGTCATGCACAGGATAGGAGCATCTCCGGAAAGTACCGAAGGACACAGGCTTGCCCAGCTGTGACCCCCAGAGCCAATAAGGCATAAAGAACCCCACACAGGAGGTGGCAGCACAAAGAAAGGAGAGCAAAGCCCAGATCACCCCGGTACAAGTCAGGCTGGATGCCATCTTCCAACAGGTAGGGCCCTGAGGACCCAAAATAACTACTCTGGCACCGCAGGGGTGAGTGGAGACGTGAAGCCACCAGGGTATGGCAGGCAATCCACGGTCTGTAACGGGGGGCTGTCTAGCAACAGAGTGAATCTTCAGGCTTACTGGCCATCAACTTCTCATCCTCTGGAGTCGAGATGATGGTTTCTGGCAAAACAAGAAGAAACATTAAGAGTTAAATGTTTTCAGGACAGTGATTAACACCAGCTCAGCTGGTCTACAACGCTTAATTAATAAACATTCAAATTTGCCTCAACACTTCAAAAAGTGCAAAAAACTCATTCTCTCCATACATGTCTCTAAAATTCAAGTTTTGTCAAACTGTCTCGAGGCTTTTTCATGTCTTTATCTCCTGTACATGCTCCCCAATGAAGTCTGACAGCTCTTTACTTAAAGAAATCCATGGCTCCTATTTGCCAAGGCAGTGAATTCATTTCACACACTCGCAGTAAAAGTAATGTACCATTTTTACTGGCAGTAAACATAATTCCAAATACTAAAATAAAGTGAGCCATACCATGGTTTGTTTATTTGGCTTGCAAGTTCATGCCCATAATTTGGAGCAACTTTTCCGTGTCCCTTTAGGTGCATTAACTCTGCATGAGCCCGAACAAAATAATTAGGATGATTTCCACGACGGCAGAGCACATAAATGCAGCAAATAATACAGACTGTCTAGGCTCGCAGACTGGATGGAACTATTAGGCACCCCCTGTACTCATTCAGTAGTATTTGTGAATCCCTTCAGTCGTAACCACCTTCTCTCTCCTAGAGGTAATGAAAGAAAGCTTGTGTGTGACTTTCTTCTGATTCACTCCTTCCAACCAAATTGCTGGGACCGTCTCTCCCACTGAAGGATTGTCAGTGTCTAATCTGAAAAGTAATCCATACTTTCCAGGACTCTACGTGGAACCCCGGTCATTCAGAGTTCCATGCGCACTGACTTCCACCCCTCCCTTCCTTTCAAAAGGAGTTCTCGAACCGCTTCCCACACTTTCCATAAAGAAGTGAATACAGAAGCACACAGCCCAGGCACCTTCCATTTCCGTTCCGAGAACCCTGAACTCCGGCTTTTCAGGGTCCACCGCAAATCCCCGCTCCCTCACCTCTGCCCTTCCCCCAGCCCCCACCCCTACCATTTCCTCTCCACCCGCCACCCCATTTCCAATCCAGCCTGTCACTCCCGGGGAGCTTCAGCCACTTTTTTTTTTTTTTTTTTTTAATCTTGTCACTCGCGGTCGGCGGCGCTGGCTGCTGAACTTGGTCCGCTGGGGCCCCGAGGCCGGGGGAGACGAGTTGGGGGGGCGGGGGCCGCATGGGGGGAGGAAGGCCCTCTTCTGGAGCTGGGGCAAGGCGCCCCGAGGGGGAGCCCAAGACGACCCCACAGGCGGCCCCCTGCCAGGACCTCGGCCACCCACCCCCGCCTGGACGACCCCCGACGACCCCCGAGCCCGGGAGGGGGAGAGGGGCACTTCGCGGCCGGCCCGCGCGAGGGGAGGGAGACGCACAGGAAGGCAGCACCCCCGGAGGCAGCCGCCGACCGCGGACGCGGCGGCCCGGAGAGCCGAGCGCGCAGCCGGGCTCAGGAAGTCCGGAGCCCGGGGCGGCCCGACCCCGGCGGCGCGGCCGGGGAGGCGCGGGGAGAGCGCGGAGCCCGCGGGCGCCGGGCGGCCGGCGCTCGCTACTCACCGCGGCGGGCGGGCGGCGGGCGGCGGCCGCGGCGCGCGCACAACTTGCTGTCTTCCGCGGGCGGAACATCCACGGCGCCGAAGGGCGTCCTCCCTCCCCGCCGCCGTCCCCGGTCGCAGCCGCCCCGGGCCCGCCTCGGGGCGGAGAGCGGCGTCCGGCCGGAGGCCGAGGGTGTCCCGAGGGCAGGGCTGCGCCGCCCGCCGCCGAGCCGCGCTGCCCGCGCTCTCCCGCGGCGGCCGGGGCGGTGCGCGGTGGCCACGCGCGGGGCGCCCGGCTCGCACGCACAGGAACGGGCTCCCTTTGGCAGGCGAGGCACGCACCGCCTCCTCCCCTCGGCGGCCGGGCCCTCCTCCTCCTCCCCTCCCCTCCCCTGCCCGCCCCTCGCGCCCGGGGACTCGCGGCCGGCGGCACGCGGACGCGGCGCGGCCGGCGGGGAACGCGGGAGACCCCGCCCGCCCCGGGGGGCGACTCCGGGGGCTCCCGCGGACCGAGCCCCCCCTCCCCCCCCCCCGCGCCTCCCCCGCCCTCCTGCCGGGGCGACTCCTGCAAAGGGGAGGGCGGGGAGGCGCGCGCGCCGAGAAGTGGGGAAAAAGTTGCTCGTTTTCTCGGGGCTCCGGAGGGGTCACGGGAGACCCGACACGCTCCCCGGCGGCCTTTGGGGTTTGAGGGGTACGCTCCGGTTTCCTGCCTGAGGTGGAGAAGGAGGGCCTTAAAAGGGGGTGAAGGGACCCTCTGGAGCTTTGGGGAGACTCTTGGGATGTGGTCACTTCGGAGAGGGTGGACAAGGCCAGTGTGGACGTGAGCCCGAGACAGAAGAGCGGGAAGCGCAAGGCTCGGGGGTTCTGTCGGCCAGAGAGTCTTTCAGGCGACAAGGCAGGGAGAAGGCGGGGGTTGGGGGGGTTGGGGAGGGTCGCGGGGGGGGGACTTCCAGCCAGCGAGCCGCTCCCTAGAGAAACCGTCTTTGGGAGCCTCCTTCAAGGCATTGTATTCTCTCTCTCTCTCTCTCTCCTCCCCCCTTCCTACCTCCCTCCTCCCCCTCCTTCCCTTCTCTCCTATCTCTCCATCCAACCATTCTTGTAATCAATACTGCCATCAGATTTCTTTTTTTTTTTGTTTACCCTTTGGAAGTTCAGAGCTACATCAGAGGACTCGGCCCAGGAGTCTGCGGGAGACGGTATTTTAAGAATCCTACCGTCTGGGAAGAGCGGTATTAGAAGCAGATACTTCCCCAGGTACAGTCTGTGAAAGTGCTTTTTCAAAGTCGTTGGAAGTTACAAATGGGTAGGTGTAAATAATATTTCATAGTAAAATTTCAATCTGCGTCATTTTAGCCATAATGGTGTACATTTTCCCAGCAACTATAGCTGGAGATGCGTGCTGTATCAGACTTAAAGGCTTCTCAGATTGAAAGGATTTGAGTAACTGGTTCCAACCTTTTTGAGGTCATAACAGAACTTTTTAAGAATATGGTGAGACTGATAAGCCTCTCAGGGGAGAAAAAATACACCTATCATGTATTAAACTTCATCTCAGTGGCTCTCAAGGGGGAGAAGGAAGATTACGCCCCTCCTCCCTGCGAGGGAACACTAGGGAGGGTCTGGGGAGGTTTGGATTATCAAGAGGAAGGAGGCGCTGCTGGCATCTAGTGGACAGAGGCCAGGGATGCTGCTAAACACCCTGCAATGCACCCTCAGAATGACCTGGCCCAAAACCTAAATAGTGATGAAGTTCCCTGTTCCCCTGTGGCCCATGCATGGAGCCCAGATTCAGAATCCCTGATTCAAGTGATTTGAACGGTCTCGAACAAATCACTGGTTACTGAGCTCCGTGATGGCCCAAATGACGGGTCTGGCTTTCAGTTATGCCCTTAGCTGTTACCCAGAGACTTCAGATCTATATAATGTAAAGGTAAAAGACAGAACTGTATAAAGTTCAAAGTATAATCACAAGATTTGGACTCACCCTCCACACAAGCTCCTGGGGAAATTGGCCCAGGTGATTTCTGAAGCCTGGAGGAGTTTTAAGCACGGAGATGCGTGGCTGGGATTACATCCTTGTTGTATCAATCACTACACTAACTTTTCTTAGCAGATTACTTTCGCCCTCAAAAAAAAATAAAATAAAATAAAAAAGGTTATGAAGAAGGTGCAATTATCATTTTACAGAGAGGTCAAGAACTTTGCCCAAGACCTTGTAGCGAAAAGGTGGGCTTTAAAGTATCTCATTATCTGCATTCTATTAAATAGAGTACCGTGCTATTGACCAGAGTCTGCCCAAAAGGTAAAAGAAGATAGAGGAAGAGGTCGAATTTAAAAAACTCTATTAGGCTGCAATATCAATAATTTGTGGAAGTATAGCATGTTAATACTAGGACTCAAAGTTCTAACTTAGATGAATGAATTTGGACAAATGATGATCTTTCCGAGCCTGAGTTCTGTCATTTGTAAACAGAGATTGCAATCGATGGTTTCTAACGTCCTTCTAACTCATGACTTCTAGCATCATGATTATAGAAGTATTCATATATTTGAGAAGGAGCCTAGGAGTAACCTAATTTTGTTCAAGTATTTTTTATAGATGAGGAAGTGGAGGCTCAGAATCCCTCTGGTGTGCTACCTAAAGCTGAGGCTAGATTCCATGTCTCCTAATTTCTCTTCTCATCCCACTGGGTAATTATCTTCCCAGACTATAAAATCTTCCAAATCACTCCTTCGGTTCTCGTATATGTACTTTATAGGCGAAATGCATTATAATATCTTTAAAGCCCTTGTATTAAGTTTGCGCCTTCAAAGGATCTTTAAATTATTTCCCAGCCAGAAGTTGCCACATAGCAGCTGCTGCTTAGACCTCTGATTCCAGGTTTGAGTTTTTAGTATTTTGGATAGTAGTCCCACTGAGTCATCAGATGAGATCATGAATACAAAAAGCATGTAGAAAGCTGTAAAGCATCTATGCCAACACTCTTGGTTGGCTCCCCAGGATTAATTCCCAACTCCTTCTCCTTGGTCAGGTAAGCAAGCACCTCCCTTCCAACTGCCCTTAAACCTGGTGGTGACTGCATGACCTTCCTACCCAAGAAGTCAGCTGAGGAGGCCTCTAGGGAAGATTGGATCCTCTGGTGAAAGAGAATGGCTCTTTTGGACACATTCTTGAAGGATGAGATGTTTGGAGCTGTAGCAGCCTTCTTACAATGATGAGGGGAATCACAGAGACAGAGCCCAGCACTCTAACATAGTGGAGCTACATACCTCCTTTTGAATTTTTTAAGAGTAAATTATAGATTCTTAATATGGTCTAAATCACTGTTGCTTGAATCTTCTTTTAGTAGCTGAAAGCATTCCTAATCGATAAAGCGCCGTGTGGATAAGACATATGCTCAGTGACAGGAAACACAGCATTGTATCCCAGAGCTTGGCAGTTAACGATAAATACTCAGTAATTGAACATTAACTGAGGCAATTAATGAACAAATCAATATCGTTGGGATTCTTACGCTTGTTCCAATGCAGTCCACAGAGTGCATATTTAGGCTTTTTAAAATTTTTTAATGTTTTTATTTATTTTTGAGAGAGAGAGACAGAGCATGAGTCGGGGAGGGACAGAGAGAGAGGGAGACAGGCTCCATGCTCTGAGCTGTCAGCACAGCTTGGAAGTCGAACTCATGAACTGGGAGATCATGACCTGAGCCAAAGTTGGATGCTTAACAGACTGAGTCACCCAAGTACCCCGCATATTTAACTGTTAAACTAACAGAGTGTGCTATACAAATTTAGGGAAGGAATAGGGTAGTGGAACATAGAGAGCACCTGGACTCCATCACTTCTGACTATTGCAGAGAGGTTGGGAAGGGACTTCTTCCACATTTGTGATAAAAACCGCAGTGTGGCTGACACAATGTCCATTTCCATCCCCTATTCTTTTATATCTTTCTCTCCAATAGACGCAGCTAAAAATCTCCACTCCCCTGGTCTCACCTTGCAGCTTGAGGGGCCACGTGACCGTGCTGGCCAATGAGATGAAAGGGAAGTATTGTAGGCACCCTCGCATCTGCTTGCTCTTTGTCCCAGTCTAGAAAACACATGTGATGGTACTTGGAAGCACAGAAGCCATTCTTCAGCCGGGAGGTGACAATGCATGATGACAAAAGCCAGCACTAAGAACAGTAGAGTAAAATGGTGCCAAGAGTCTAGATCCGTGGTATTTTCACTAGGCTGCTGTGTTATCCTCAGACATCTTTTGGGTAAGACCAATAAATAAGCCTTAGCTGTTTAAGTCCCTGTTAGTGACAACAACTACATGCCTGCTAGACTATTGAAACTATCTGTCTTCTTGCGGCCAGGAGCCAGCACCACGGTAAAGTGGATTAGACACAGAGCAAGGAGGCTAAGCAGAGCGAAGAGAAAACAGGATAGTAGCAGAGGAGAATTCCTTCTCTAGCACATGGTGGCTACAGTGGGCATTCATTGTCTATAGCATGCACTGGAGAAGGTGCACCTTTCTTAAAATCTGGCAATAGAAACAGGAATCGCTGTGAAAATAACTTAAAATTACCCTCCACCCCCACCTTATAGTCTTAACTTTGAGAAATCAAAAAAGACAAATTCTGGGCATCATAAAACGACCTATATAGCAAGAGGGATCTCTGAATACAGGCCCATAAAAAAGAGAGGCAGGAGGTATGAGGTGTAAAAAGGAAGTGGTGGATAACAAAAGTGAGGCTCTAAATACAGCCCCGGGGAAGAGAGATTTTTCTTTAACTGATCCTGGCCTAGAGCTTCTCAGTTCTCCATCAGAATCTATCATTTGCTCTTCCACACATGCATCGAAATACCGTAAGAGACGCAGAACTAATCAGCTCTCAGGACAGAGGATATACAATAAATAATTGGAGACCATGGTAAGTTCCTCCTTTTTGCCATTTCCTTCCTTTGTTCTTTCCTGAAATACCCTTTCCCTTCATGAATCTCTTCTTAAGACAAATTTAAATGGGTATTGCTACAGCATTTTACTGCATTGTGTCCCTCTTCTGTAGAGGGGAAAAATCTCACAGGACGATTTTTCGTGGGCTCTCGGCTTTCCTGGTCTCCATTGCAAGTAGCCTCTGAGTGAGATCATGTGTTGCTTTTCGAATGCCCTTTCTCTTGCGAACATGTCTATGCATACATTTACCACAGCTGCCCTAACATCCCATTCCAGGATGGGTGCCTATTTCCTTTTCTATGAGCTTTCTGTCATATGTTTTATGGACTCAAGACCCCTTCTCCCCGTGGAAACTGTGTACGCGTAGTTATGTACAGCTTGTGAATGTAGCGATTGGTATGACTATATCCCCCGGAAGCTCTCATGGAAATAAGGTGTACAGAGTCCACGGCCTGTTCCCAGGGGTGCTGTCTGCATTATTTATTTAAAGTTTGCAAACTACTTTGGCAATTTAAAGTGCCATATCATATCTCTATATTATTCTTTCATGAATTAAAGCAGCATACAAATTTTAAATCAATAACTTATTCATAAGAGGCAAAAAAAATGTGAGGTGTTAAATTGCATTTAACGTAGCAAATATTTCACATGAAGCCATCAAAATGGAAAATGTCTATAATACATTATATGTATTTTTGCTAAATGACCCAGGAAGCGTTTTAAAGTAGTACATAATTATGTTTAATATTGAATCAGTGTCATGCTTTTGCTACTCTTAAAATCTCTTGTCTTTTCATATCAAAAATCATCTCAGGCTTTTTCAGTGTTAAGACTATGTTTTATGTCTTTTTTTTAATTTTCCCAGAATATGTAGAAAGATGAGTATAATGAGTTCTGTAGAAAGAGATAAGAATTTTTTTGTAATAATATTTGCTACCAATCAGTCATAACTCCTGAGGGAATTCACAAAGATATGTTTAGACAATATTTTAAAATTATAAGCCCCCCTTCACCAAAATAAGATGTATTGCAAGTGTTGAATATACTAATAGAATGGGCTAAGTGAAGAAAACCAAAACTTAAACCATTAATTTAGTATTATAATGCTAAGAGGGGTAAGCAAACACTGGTTTTTCTGAAGTATATAATTTCATATTACAGCCACCGTGAAATGGTAGAGGAGAAATGCTTTTTTCCCAATTCTCTGGTTTTCCTCAGGAGAAATTTTTCTAAATGCACTTGGTCTCTCTCCACACAGAGGAGCAGCCGGGGTAATTGGAGGCTCTGGGAAGAACCCTGTGTGGGCCCTGGAATAACTCTGCCCTTCTCTTTGGGGTGAACCTCCCTTCCAGGGCAGGACTGCACAGAGGCCATGCCTGAGACAGCAGGCAAATCCTCCGAGCCCTCGGGCCCAGTTAGCAGGCCCGTTTGCCCCTCACTGAGTTACATCCTCCGCCTTAGCCTCGATTGGTAATAACCACGAGCTTTTGGTCTCCATCTGCCATTTTTTTCCCCTCAATATGTCCAGATTGCATCTGGGGAAGAGAACCACTATTGATTGGCCCCCATCGGAGACACTAATAGGAACTAAGACAAACTGGGTGTAAGCATATTGAAATATTAATTAAATATTACTATTTTGTGACTGATACAGCAGCAACACCAAGTCTGTACTAACGGGGTCAGGGGAAAAGGCTGACCTCCAGCAGTCAGCACTGAGTTGAGCTGTCAAAGATTGTGTTCGGTCGACTTGCCAACTAGCGTGCACGTGAGGTTGAAAAGAGAATGCTCTTTGGCTACATATGGCTTCCAAAGATCAATGTCTTTGTGGGCTAAACGCTAAAAAGCATGGGCCAGGCGACAAGAAGCAGAAGATACAAGAATAAAAATAGAATTAAGAGCAGCATACAGCATCAGCCATTTCAGCAGACAGACACTAGAAGTGGGGGTGGGGGGGTGGAGGTGGTAATAGCAGGTAGCAGGGGTAAGGAGGAGGGGAGAGAGGAAGAAGCTGGGGGAGGGAAGGAGGAGGAAGGAAGGAGAGGAGGAGAGGGTGAAAGAGACAGGGGCGGGGGAGTAGATGAACAGAGGCAGGGACAGACTGAGACGGAGAGATAGAGAGAAGATAACCGTTCTGTTTTGGTTTTTGTTTTGCTTTGTTTCCAGGGAGAGAGGGATAAATAGCACTTCTGTGTCTTCTACCTTGAAGGCACAGACAGAGGGTACTTGTCAAGTCTGGTGAGGGATGTGAAAATACGGGTCTAGCGGCTCAATTGTTAACTACATGGGGATGAGTGTGCCATGAAAACGACATGTCGGCTTGGACACATGAGCAGTCAAAGGGATATTGGCTGTGTGCAGGGAAATGAGAAGCTATGTTCCCCAGCCCTCTGTCCGCTTCTATAGGAACAACCCAGTACAATAACTGATGTTTGAGGGGCACTTAGGTGGCGCAGTCGGTTGAGTGTCTGACTCTCGCTCTCAGCTCAGGTCTTGATCTCACAGTTTGTGGGTTCGAGCCCCTCATTGGGCTCTGCTCTGATGGTGCAGAGCCTGCTTGGGATTCTGTCTCTCGTTCTCTGTGCCCCTCCCCTGCTTGTATGTGCTCTCTCTGTGTCTCACTCTCTCTCTCTGTCTCTCTCTCTCAAAAACTGAATAAATAAACATAGAAAAAAATAACTGATGATTGATACGATGCCTTTTCCAAGTGCCCCAGGCAAGTAGCCAGTCCTCCCTCTATACTTCCAATCAATGGACACCCCTTCTCCTATAGAGCTTACAACAAAGCATCGTAATTATTTGGTTGTGATGTGTATCCCAAACTGGATTGTTAGCTATTTAGAGCTACCTTGCTCATCCTGCTAAGCACACAGCAGGTGTTTACCTAGTTGGGCCTAAAATTTCACAGGCTGCCTTGGTATCTTTGAACCTCAGAAGGCCCCAGAGGCCTAGCTGTGAGTCCTGTACTCTTACCAGACAGCCCCCCCCCACCCCCCACCCCCCTTCCCCCCCGCCTGCTAGCTTTCCTGTTCACCACATTAGCTACACCTCACCCGGTCTCTCGCCTAATGGGTTTCGGCTCCCTTCCAGCCCACGCAACTATTCAAACAAGTCAATGCCATCATACTGTGGGAACCGAGGGCACTTCCCCCTCTTGTTACTACAAACCTTGCCTCCCACTGCCCCTGCGGGTTCAGGCTGCTCCCACGTGCAACCCAAATGTGGCCTTGCCTGCTGGGCAGGACCTGCCCACCACGCCCAGGCTGTGAGTATGGGTGACCAATAAACTGCTGTCGGCTCACCTGTCCAGTGTCAGGTGTCATGTTTCAGCCATCTC